GTGGAACCAGTCGTGGGAGTCGAATCGGTGCTGCTAGATTATTCGGTAGAACGAGAAGACTCGATATAGGTGGTGGTACCAGCCACGGTCGAGACCATGGTCCTCATCTACTTTCCTTCAACTTTGCGACTGATTGCCGATTGCCATTTAAACGTCTCAGCCAGACAGCTATCCGTCTTCTTTCATGTACAATCTAGATTCCTTAGCTCCCTCAACGCACTGAAATACAAGCGTGAATCGTTAGAACCATTTAATAAAAAAGCTCTCCGTTTAAAATATAAGATCACATAGATATTGTATTAAGATTTTTACTGACGTAGAATAATGTTTGTGACGATAGTCTCTGGAAAAGTATCAAAGTTTCGTTTGCATATGACGCACTACAGAAAAAATGCTTTGTAGCGATTTCGAAAAGAAAACAATGAGATAAAAACAAGAATGCGATTAGTGATCGCAGATGATTCGAATCGGAACGAGAAGGGATAGGAGGATGGCGGTACCAGCCACGACCGAGACCAACGCTGTCTGTCCTCCTCTGACGCAGATCGTCGAGAGGGAACGACGGTATATTCTTGCGACAAGATCCATTTATATCTTTCCAATCAGTGTAATTTTTCCCGTAATCGGTCGTGCTCGCGATTAGTTTAATTTTAACGAGGATCAAGCGAGGCAACGCGATGGAAAAAAATCGATGCATTGTTTTTATGGAATAGAGGATCTATTTCCGAGATTTTGTGAAATTAAGAGAAATTTAGGATGAGCCTTCGCAACAGGATGCACGCGCTATATTCGCGACACGCGTTACGCGACCTCGTCTTTCCTTCTTCGTGGATAAAGTACAAGAACCTCGAACGCAATCGTCTATGCGTGAGAAAATAACGCTGAATTACAAAATCGTCGAGCGTATGAAAGTAGTCGAAGAGTTTGGCGCAACGTGGACTTATACGATCTCACAATGAGAGTTTGCTTCCCTTTGATGAGCTTTTTATTCCATTTGCAAGGTAAACTTCAACCTGAAAACATAGAGTTCTTAGAACAGAGATGCAAACTTGAATACAATGTATAATTGTTCGATGATAAATTAGAATTAAGTTCCGCTTGAATTATGTTTTGTTAAATTTCCTTGGAAATCCCAATGTTTCTTAAAAGCAAAAGGCATTTAAAATGCAACCGGGTATCAAATTAGCGGAATTTCCGAGGAACACCACCAACGTCATGGAACGAAATAAAATAGTCGCCAGATAAAATATCGATAAAAAGAAATCGTTATGGCATATTTCCCTGTCGCACGCGTATCGAACGAACGTCATCGAGGAACTGAATACAAACGTGAACGTAAAAGACACAAGTGGACAGGTTTTAAGTATGATTCAACATCGGCAACAGGGAACCGGTTTTTTTCGCATACGCCTGCTCATTCATTATACAATCAAATAGAGAAGGGTTGATTGCACAATTTTTGTTTTGATTCTCTACCTTTAATGTTAGTAAACTATTTCTACGTGAATGCAAGTCTTCTAGTATTTGCGTTTGATCTTTTTGGAACTTTCTCGAGTTCCGGTTTCACTTGTTGGCCACCTCGGACAATACATACGTTGCTAGGGAACTCGTCTTGGACAGTGGATATACGCGCGAAAGTAGGGAAAGTGTATCTAGATTCGCTATGCTTGACATACATATCACTGGCGATGCATAAATGTTTGCTTATCACTGATATGGACTTCGAGAGATTTAGAGTTTTACTTTTTGATGACTGGTTTCGTAAGAGGACGATCAGGAAAAACGATAGAAGAGAAGTCAGTTACGATTTTCTTCTTTGCTAGAAATTCTTGACACACATATCGATGCATAAACGATAGATTACCAGCATGAAGCTTGAGTTTCACTTTCTGAAATCGAAGACTAGTATCACGAGAGAACAATTAAGAATTTTATAAGAGAAGGTGCTCTCACAAAAAAGAAGGACAAGACTTGTAAATTCTGCCACCGATTTCTTTTTCTTCTCTAGAAAGGAATCGTTCCACTTCTAAACTGAAGCGCAAATCATTTTTCCTATCCCATGTTTCGAATGGAAACAATTCATTGAACAATGTACGCCCACCTGATAAGCGTCGAATAGAAGACAATTATTGTACATGTTTCCAGGATACAGTGTGTAGGAAACACGAGCCACCGATAGTCGCAGACCAAGATTACGCCTATCGGAACACCAGCAAGCTTTATTTTTCCTCTTTCCGTTTTGTATTTTCATTTTTCAAAATCGCATGATTTACTGCACCTATAAAGAAGTGATTGAAAAAATTGTCGCAATTCTGCATCGAGCAATGAATCACAACGAAATGAAACAACGTAAGGATATCGATTCAAAACAATCGTACCACCTGTATCATTTAAATGCTCGTCAAGATTTTAAATTCTCCATTGATCATCGCGGAACAGAATGCAATTGTTAGATTCATCACATACAATTTCCGCGTCGACAATAAACGAAGGTTACCGACTAGTATTTCCGCGAATGCATAGACAAATCTGAAAGTAACTTAATTATAGTGGAATGTTTTACTAATAGAACCATCTACGTACAGAGAACTAACTTTGTCAACAAATTTGACACTTTGTACATGATTGATGATGGAAGTGTGCATGAAAGTTCGTACGAAAAAGAAATCGCTCAACGGGCCATATAAAAGGAAGCCAATAAGTACAATGAAAGCTGACAACATCCATCATAAATTTAACTGATGCAACTGCAAATCCATGTATACATTGTAAGCGCAATTAACACGTTAACGGTCAGGCAGTAAATGCGTTTTCCGTGTTTGTAACGACGCTCCGATTCTGGATAGCAGTACAGTGCGTTATTCTTTCGAATCACCTTTTTCCTTTACGTAGCCTCCACTTACGAATTAATTACACGTTTCTTCCCGTATACCATGCACGTAATCAGCTGGTTCCTCCGAGCGTGCTCTTGACCGCCAACCACTAACCACCATTCCGTCCGCGTTTTTGGTTCGTCAACCAAAGTAACGTCGCATTGTCTCACGATGGCAGCGGGTCAACGTTTTGTACGGATTATCTGTTCGTGGTGCAAGCAACGTTACCAGTGAATTCAATACTTTCTCTTGCATAATTTTCAAGTGACTCGTATCAGTGTAGAATTTCGATATACTTGTCCGAAGCGAAATATTCTTGAAACTGTTGAAAAGTTTAAGAAACTTAAATAACTATAGTCGGATTGTAAATTTAAATGAAGAACAAAAGAATAGCCTCACGTTGAGAAACTTCAAGGATCATCTTTTCTTGGGAACGGAGGAGAGATATTGAAATGTTTGCTGCTTGCTCTTTGTTAAATGTATACTCCTCACCAGTGTTACTGAAAGGAAAATAAATTGTTAAAAGGTGCAATCAACCGTGATAATTTCTCTCATCTTTCTAGAAATGAAAGTTATGGCAGCAATAATTTTCAAGTGTGCTTCTGCAATCGAGTTATAAAAAGACAATAGCCGCTATCACAGCATTCACGAATTCATTACATAAGTGTAACGTTAATTACACGTTTTCAAATTGCTATCACTGATCAGGAATTATGCCATGCAATTTCGATAATAAAACAGGTTCCACTTAAACTAGTAGTCTGAGCAAAGTCCTCTTGTTTTTTAATATTTTCGTCGACGTTAACGCGACTACTATATTTTATAATTGTACAAAAAACAGAACTACCATTGTAGTAGTAAAAGGATTAACATCCTAAAAAGGAAGTCATTTCAAATAAGTACATAAGCTTCCTCGAGACGATATACGACTCCCAAACGTGCATGGGGCGACTCTTCAAAAGTCTCGACAAAAACTTGTGTTCACGGAACAAGAACTCCGAGTCCAACGGATCCCATCGTTGAAACACCTGAGCGTGCCATATGATCGCTATTACACGTTTCTACGAGTCACGTAATAGACAAGCTCGTGAACGTTACATCAACCGTTTTATAAATTCCATGTGTTCATCTAAGAAATGATGTTAATGTTCAATACCGTTCAAAATAACAGGCATACCATGAAAATTGAAAAATGGTTAACGTGCGGCAAAAATGCATCGTTGCAAATAAAATTCGATGATTTGAAAACAAAAGAACGATGACGCGATCGATAAAAAATTTAAAAAGTTGAAACGAGTCGAATGAGTCGAGTCCCGGAGTGGGCGTTTGTGTGATATGAAGTTATCTGCACCCGCCGACATGCGTGGATTTATTAAACGACAAGTACGGTAAACGATCTCTCTCGGTACAAGCAATGGAACCACTTTACCGAATCAGTCACGACGAAAAGGGAGCCACGTATTGTATTGTGTGTTTGTCGTGACATCGGGATACATTTTCGCCGCACGAATACAAAATCAGTTAACTGTGATTCGGCTATGATACATAGGAACACGGTACAGGCTCGTAACGTTTACGTTTCGTGGTATTCATGGGACACCGTTCCTCTCGTGTCCTTGAGTCGATTCATCGCACATATCCAAACTTTGATTTATCCGTTGAAATCCTTTCCAATGTTTACATTTTTGAACGATCGACATACACTGCAATTTACGGGATTATCCTGTAATTAGTGCATTTTAGAGACACGATAAATGCAGAAGAGAGACATTTGAATTTATAAACAACAAGGAACGTAGACAAAAGAATACGCGGAACGTACAGGTGGTTCAGAAGCGCGAATCGAACGAATTTAAAATGTCGAACACAGCGTTCGAGTCACGTGAAAAACAGAAAGCGCGAAGAGGGGAATTTTTTCACTGAAAATATGCAGAATCTGTATTTGCCTTTCTGTTAAAGGAACGTTGCATTTGCACGGTGTTGTCTAGATCACGGGCAGACCTTTACGTTTGCTTATTCTCTTCAACTATCCTCGTCTGTCCGTTGCCTTTCGCTGTTCCGCTCGTTATTCGCAGCGCCACATAAAAATACCGAAATAGAAAGTCCTGTATCTTTCGATGAAAAAGTACTCTTTTATCTTTCCGTTTCTCCTTTTTGTAAATACCGGTACGACACAATGAGCCAATTAAAAAATGCCCGATTCCTCTCGAGAGATCGTCGAATAATTTAATGTTTTCACTCACCGACAGCGATGAATTATTGTGCGTCTCGGTGACTGACGTTTCTACACCGTCGTTCGCTTTCCCTGAACGTAATCCACCTGTTCCGACAGCACAGAACCCACCAATGTGAATGAGAAAAAATCTGTTTGAGAGTTCAGGCGGGCCTGGAGAGTAGATAGCCCCCTCTATTGGCAAAATACATGTTCAGCGCCATGTTTGATCCTGGTAGCCATATTCGTTGCCGTATGGCGGTATATTTTGTATAGATGACTTGCAAGCCGGTTAGGCGAGATCACCGTACAAGTCTAAAAATAAAATGCACGTAGATCTGCGTCCTGGTTTCAAATGCAATATATATGCTCGTGTCTGAATATCTCAAAGAAGATTATATCCTTACTTACGCTGTAACGTTACGCTTTCACAGCATGTGAAATTTTAAATGCCTTTTACGTATACGTCCATCGTATACTGTAACAGATATTTCAACCTAAGAATGATAAAAAACATTGTGATTAATTTCATTGCTATATTATATTAGAAAAAGCATGCTAGGAAGAATGAGTAGTTTACAAGTGCCCTTGACCGTTTTAACGTGAACGGCACTGTGAGTTGCTTTAACATTCAACATGGCCACCTGATATGTAGCAGACGATACAGGTGGTATGAAAAATTGTAAATAAAATTCATTTGTAGCTTTAATTATGAGTGGACGTGTGCAGAAAGAAAGTGCTGATGATTCTGATCGTGTTGACGATGCAGTGGATCCTAGAGTGCAGGTAAATTAATGCGTTCTTTCAGGAATAATTTATAGGCTTTCAGAAATCAACTACTTATGATATTGACATTTCCACGTTGCTCCCAATAAAACATCTGATTGCGTTTCACTCCTCATGAAAATGTGCGGACTAGTTGTCTGGTTTCTTGGACTTCTTACAAGTATTACAAGTGTTTAATGTTTTTACGCATAATCGTACTGTTTTGCTACATTGTTGAATGTTACATTCTTTTTCCATTTTCCTGTATCTTATTGTTCATTGGATGTATAACGCGATGTAAATTCGGCCGATCAATCTACAAATAAATAAATGCAATTCGATTAAATTTTGTCATTGTACAATTTGTTTTTCCAATAATCTCAATTCAACTTTGTTGGTACATATTAGCATTAATTGTTTCATAATTAATTATTTTTTTAGATTGAACTTGAAAGATTGAATACTGCAACCGATGACATTAATAAACTTGAAGTTGATTTGGATGTAAGTATAATTGTACTGTTATTAAGATGTTGTATTTCTCACACAAATAATTTTTTATTGCAATGGATCAAATTAAAATAAATCTCTTTGCCTCCTTGAAGGACCAAATTAGTAGCAAGTTTTGAAACTGGTTGTGATTACATTTCATTGAGGTGATTGCTGTAAAGTATACGAGTAAATGGATAATGGCTTCAAAGATCATCTTGTAGTCATTTATAACGTCGTCTAAAGAAACGTTCCAACGCTTGAAACTCGTGTCTATACAGTTTATGATAGTAAATTAAGGTGTATGCAAACACTAACAGTGTTTCTTTAAATATTTACTAATTTGTATATAATGAATTTTATTTGCAGGAAGCAAGAGCAACTTTCAGAGAACTACTGTGTGAATCCACATTAAAAATTGATACTTTAGCTAAAAAGCTTGGTACTTGTATCGAAAAATCCAGACCATATTACGATGCCAGGTTTAAAGCGAAAGAAGTAAGTTAATCCTATACAACCATGTCTCATTTTATGAAAATGAAATCAATGTAGTTAACATTTCTTGAAGGCTTTGCATGAAACACAAAAAGCTGCGATTAGATTTGAAAGAGCCAATAGTCAACATGCAGCAGCTAAAGAAATGGTTTATTTAGCTGAAGAAGGATTAAGAACCGAAGGAAGATGTTTTGACCATGCTTGGCAGGTAACAGAAGCAAAATAATTGAAATAAAATTATTTGAAATCTGTTATTAAATTTGATACTTGCAATTCTTTTTTTAGGAAATGTTGAATCATGCAACAGCTAGAGTTAATGAATCTGAACATGAAAGAGCTTTATCGGAAGCAGAACACAGACATACTACTGCTTTGTATCATAAAGCAGAACACGAAGTTCAAAGATTACAACGCGAATTAAAACGTGCAATTGCTAAGTCTAGGTGTGTTCTTTGTACAGTTTTTTCATCGTTCTAGCTAGTTATATTGACTGACTTTCTAGTTTACTTAATGATGCATGGAATGTATTGCATTTGATTATTTAATACAAATCTCAATGTTAGAGTTTGATATTTTGATTACAATATATTTTTACTTCATGATTCCTAACAGTCTCTACCTGTTTCCCATATAAAAATTTTATAATTTATTTTGTTATCATTACTTTAATTTTGTATAGATATTAGAGTATTTATGTCTTTTGGTTATATTCATGTTGGCAGTATGGGTGCACGTCGCAGCTTGCTTCTGATAAACAGTATCGCCTACAGACACAACTTGCTCATGTTGTAAGTAGGATAGATGTTATTTTTTTATTTTTTTACACGACACTCCTTTTGTGCGAGTGCTATGGACAAGTCCCGTTTGATAATTTATTTTTTGAACCAGCACCTCTTTTATGCACGAATTATATTTTTATAAAACATCTTATGAATACACGTGTTGTGCTTCATTCAAATATGCTTTTTACCACACAATTGTACATAACGAAAAATCAGAGTTAATTATAAGAAAACATACGATATAAACTTTACCGATTAATTATCCAATTTCTTATATAGGCCATATTACGAAATGAAAGCACATTTTAATCAAATGTTGGAAGAACAAAAATTAAGAGTAAGTGCATTAGAAAGATCAGTGGGAGAAGCTAAAATGACTTATGCCGAAGCATTAAGGAACTTAGAAAAAATCAGCGATGAAATTCATAGGGTATAATATCTTTCTAATTTTTTCTAGAACTTAATTTTAGCTTCAAACAACTTATTCTAAAATTTCGTTCGCAGACGAGGAAATATGACGGAACAGAAGACTTTAGTAAAAATTCGAGAGATGCGGTCGATCAACCTTCTGCACAATCTCATACAGCAACTCCAACGGATTCCAGTGTTACTGGTTCACCTGATAGTACAGATTATACTAGCGACGAATATTTACGCCTTCCTGATAAAATGAGTCCTAGTACACCATGTCCTGTGCCTACAAGGGTAACTATTTCTAATGGTATATGTGGTTCAAACAAAATAACAAAATCTAAAAAATAAATTTGTTTATCTAGATCGACAAAGAATCTTCTTCCGAATATTTGGGCCTAAGTAATCTCAATCTTTCTTCTACGGAACCTCGAAAGTATATAAAACGCGACCGTCCAAAAAGTATTGCAGCAACTGATACGAAACATATCATAACGTTAAATCAGACGAGTTCTTCGACGTCACGATTGTCAGATTTGTCGAATATCCTTTCTCCCATAGAAAAGAAAGTAAAAATACAGACGCCCGTTGATACAAATACCGCTAATTCTGCCGTACACAATGGAGAGGAATGGACAGAGATTAGTTTAAATAATTCTCCGGATGAGATGTATTACAATAACGAAGTGTACTCCGACGAAGAAGATCAAATTCCTTACAAACCATTACCGATGGATTTAAGTCCTGAAGGTAGCAATGTACCAGCTAATGGTGCAAATATTCAGTCATTCAGTGACGCATCTAGTCGAAAGAAGTTGATCACCCAAAAGTCCTTGCCTACAATGTTGAAAGGAAACGAAGTTACTTTAAGTAACGAGAAGAAAGCAGAAGTTACGAGGAGTCCGTCAATGAAAAGTAAAAGTAAAATCGATAGCAGTCTAGCAAATTGGATAACTCGAAGTTCAGCGGGTGGCGAAGCCAGTGGTGGCAGCTCAAGTAAGTAGTATTAACTATTCATTTCAAAGTTCAGTATAATCTCTATAATATATTAATTGTTGCAGCAAACTCAAGTAGAAGACAGTCACTCGATATGTTATGGAGCGCGGGAACTGGAGAACGCGTGAAAGAATTATTGAATCATGGAATGATGATGTTGAACATATCTAGCCTTACGGAGCGACGCTCCAATGAGCCAAAGACAGCAGAGAGAGATAAGGATAAGTCTGAAAAGTCCGATAAAGTAGAAGGAAAAGGGAAGAAAGTTCCTAGCCCATTGGAGAAAACAATGACCTATCTGAATGCAGATGAAGAAACATCTGATAGTGAAAGTTTAGCAAGGTATATATCTTTTTTCTAATTAACGTTTTATGAATACTTTATAGCTTTATTTTAATACCATTATTCCGAAAATTAGCGTGGAAATGCTAACGGAGGATCAGATTTCTTCGCTCATGATGGAACCAGATATGAATCAAGTATGTCAAGAGATTCTAGGAACTCCTCTAGTCGAGGTGTGTCCATTGTTACAACAGCTACAGCAACAACAATAGCACTCCTTCTGACGATACTGATTTAATTCAATTACAAAGATACAACAATAGAAAGTGTTCAAAACCCATGATATAAGGACGAACTAGTTTATGCATAGCATTATTTATTATCGAACTTAGCTAAACTTAACTCATTAGTTCCTGCACTTTTATTATGCATACATGCTAAGAAGAAGAGATTTACTTTTGAATATCGAATCCTTGACACTTGGAAATCATTGTAACTAGAAACGATTCATGATGTTTCAGAATAGTTTGTACATATTTAAAATTAGTAACAAGTTTTTAGTATGAAATTAAAAGATTTGATTTTAATTATTGACGTGCTATATATATTGTGAATATATTAAAGCCTAATGAGACTCTCATAGAAATCTTGAGATTGTTACTAAAACGTTTCGAATGTCATTCCGTTAAATTAATTTATCAAATATAGTATTTAGTACGATATAGAAGACTAATCACCAACAAAAGCAATATGTACCGAATGTTAGGTAAATGTCACTCATACAAGATAGTTTTTCTTCACGTCACTTGTATCTTTCCTTTTCGACGACTCAACGACATAATACGGAGTTAACTTTTCCATTTGTTACTACAAGATTTATCGATGAAAAGATCCTTTGTCTTTCTGTGTTAAGAGTACAACTATATAAGCAATTCGTTTTTTATATTGTCAAACGTGCAAGAGCAACGCCAGTCGAATATTAAGTAGTATAGCAATTATAATCTTGGTAATGTTATAATATCATCTTCTTCGAACTGCTAAGTAGTGTTTGTTTAGATAGGACAACATGATTCTAAATAGAAAATTGGCAGCTACGACGAGCATGCTGTTCCACGTACCAAGCTTTAATATAATTGCTAATTGTACTAGTGTTCATCGACTAAGCTTAACAAAATATTTTCGGTGAATCTTTCCTCGACTTTGATGATGAGATACGTAGATAATAGTTATCAATTAAGTACCTTCTAGTTGTCAGAATATGTATCTACATCATAATTAATATATTTGAATAATTCTCATATATGGACTTGGACAATTCAACAGACTCAAGCAATTATTCTGTGACAGTTTAATGATAGCTTGGACAGAATGCTCAAAACATGAGTTGAGACTTAATTCTTATCGTTTTAATCACTGTGCAATATAAAATGCGTTAATAGTTTTAAGTAGAGTTGGATTGTCTAATTACATTGACAAAATAGTCCAAACAAAGAATGCATGCGATATGCCATTTAAAAAGAGTAATATATAAAAAATGTGTATATATACATATATGCAGATATTATTTATTTTTATCGCATAATTTTATGTACACAATATTTGTTAATATATTAAATAAGTCATCAACAAATTTTTCTATGAGCAATTCACGAGTCGAATAAACAAATGGCCTTCCCATTATAAGAAGAAAACTATACCAAAGATAAATAAAAATATTTAATAGCCATTTGAACAAATGATTTCTTTTTTAGTTTATAAGGCATAAATAGTGTGATAACACATGGTTGTTAATTATTAATATCTTCTATATGAGTTGTTATACTTTCTTCCTTATATTTATTTTGAAATTTTGACATCCATCTTTGTGTATATACATATTATACATATATTGTTAAAAAATTTGGAACTTTTAATGAAACAAATTTGTTTTTAAACGATTACTTTTATACTTCCCTACTTCCTTTATTTTCTTTACAAAAACCAAGAATAATTAAATTATTACTCTCAGCTCCATTGTGATACATTAGTCACAGTTATGTAATTTTATATATATCAGAGGATTGAACAAATCGAACGAAATTAATCAACGTCATGTTGAAATTTAAAGCTATTGTCATAAACATTACAAATATAATCATACCATTACATTTGACGCGAGTTGTCAGCGGCCGTGCTCCTAAATATTTTACTAGATATTTTCTTGGCAAAAATTAATGAAAACAAAGTTATATATAATGCGAGCGCATAATTATTAATAATGATTGTAAATAATATGATATTGTATATGTGACTGTAACTATGTATATAGTGTCATCTTCATTAAAATACGGTTGCAAAAGTAAATACACAAATACAGTTACTCAGTACCTTTCAAATTTCCCTCCCTTATTATTCAACAATGCACTTTTCTATTTTTTTTTGTAAATGGGATCTATCAAACATAAAATGTTACTATATTTATACCGAAACAAAATATTATGTATAAATTCATTGAAATATTTGTAAATTTAAGTCAAAAATAATACTTTAAATTCAAAGATCGTTATAAATCTGTGTTAATGAAAAATAGCCGAAGACAAATCACAGAACAGTTATAAATAAGAAGCATGTATAAAAAATATTTGTAAAGTAATTATTAGTTGAAGATTGTAATTGGAATGTACTCACGACTATTTCGAACGACGATAACGCAAAAAGAACTAAAAAATATTTGAAATAGTTTCGCTGGATGCAACTGACGAACAAAATCGTTGTTTAACGTGTCGTCCGCTCGAACTAACTGTCGCTGTAGTCATACGAGAGAAACAGAGACAGATGATTGAGAAATCAAAATGGCGTCGTATGCACGATAATTTTCGTTAGTGTTCGTTATTTTTCGTGCGTAATAGAAATAAAATGCAAACGGTGGTTTCTGTTTAATCGTTCGACGTTTGACAAACTGTTGCGTACAAAATCGTGAAAAAATCGTCGCTTGTTCGAGATCGATACATCGAAATACCTATCGCGACAGCGGTCGCGAATTAAGCAGGGAATCGTACTGTTTTGCGTATGGCTTTTAAACCGCACGGACAATTTTGCTTGGCCGATAATCGAGTACTTGGTGAGAAACGTCATTGGCATGACGAAAGACGCGAGTTTGGTTTTCGTGCATCGTGAAACTTTTACGAGCTATGTGCTTTGACGTGCACGAGTGAAATCTAGTTTGGTTCAGAGACTCCTCGCGAAGGTGTGGAGACGACGTGCGTTTAGCCACCATGGCGGTGAATCCGCGTGATATGGACGGTTTTATGCCGCTCCTGTCAACGATGGACATCAAGAAAAAATTAAATGTTGGTAGTTTATTATTAAATTATTTGGGCGACACCACCAAGAGTATCGAGTGTCAAGACATTGGACAGTTCATCGATAACATCATACCATGGCTCAGCAACGGGAATCCCAAGGTAACGCTTCTCCGCCTAATTTCTTTTTCAAATTTTATACATTGTTTTATGTCTCTCGCACCAATAAAGCATACTCGTACTCTTTAGACTTTCCCGTTTAGTCGATTCGTCAAAGAAAGTATTCTACTCTCTTGTACTTTTTCTGTATTTACAGCATATATCAATCTTGTTTTCTTCTCTGTCAAATGATAATTCTTATGCTTTCAAGAAATGTTTATCGCTTTCACTTATTTGTGATGATTGCTTACTGTTGTTATGTAAACAAGATCAAGCAAATGAACATTCTTATTTGCCAATGATTATAAAACCATCAAGTAAATCGCGTTCAACTAATATATGCAAATAAAGTAACAAAACCGTTTAAAGAATTACTGAAACAACAACGGGGTGTGCCGGGTGACAAACCGACGATCAGATTGCGGCGCGTACGAGCAGAGGTGCTCATTTATCGAATATCACTATTCGTATACGTCAGAATATTAATTGACAAACAACGTGTAAACGATTCGTAGAATACATGCAACCATACCTGTAACGTTATGATCGTTGTAATCAATGCAGTCATCATTTGGAATACTCTAAAAAAATGCATTTGTATACGTTTCCTTTTCGTCGACCTATACATCTACTGCTTGCGCGAGTCGTGTCTGCGTACACTCGAAACTTTCTACGCTCGATACACGCGAACGATATTTCTCGCGACAAAGATGCGATTGATTTGTACACTGAATTTCAATTCATTGTATTTACGAATAGAGAAAAGAGACGTTTCAAACGAAAATCTTACGAAAGATTGTTCGTGCAATCTTTTAGTTACTCGATATGTTGAAATATCGAATAACTTCGACTTACGAAATGTATTCGATTTTCGATCTTCGAGAATCACTTTCGATCTCACGAATAGAATGTACTCGAACAACTGTAATTATTTTAGAGTGCATAGACTTCGAGTTGCTTTGTTTATAAACAAAAATGCTATAAAAATCATTTGTTTAAACTAATTTCATCTAGTCGTCTGATGAGTCAGCTGAAAATCGATAGCACGACCTTAGGTTTTAATAACGTTCCTCGCGTGACTGTGTTGCAAGGAGTTATTTCCAATTAGAATAATCGTTAGTCCACATCCATGTGCTCTAAATGAAAACGATCATTTACAACGAATCTGTTGGTCTTCGCCAGACGAAGGTACGACAAAACTCTGGCTCGATTTATCTCGTGTACGTATAAGGGAAAAAAACTTTCACACCATGTACGTAACGTGTCCTTTGCCATAGCATGTCACGGTGTGTATGTCGCTGAAAGATTCGCGGTTACTTCGAGCCATTAAGTTCAGTTAAATGCTCTCCGGTTATAGATGAAGGAACGTTCGATGCATCAAGAGGAAATTATTACTGTATATATTAAACCGAAATATTCACGAAGTTTCACGAGATTGAAGGATGTAAGGCTGATTATATTTTATGGTAACCTAAATTTCCCACAGGATTATGGGACAGTATTATCCATATTAAAATGTTTAGATGTTAATGGGACAGGTACGGTCGGACATTTTGTTTTGTACACATGTGTAAATTATACGATGTATTCGAAATGCATATCGGTGAAATATTTTGATCCAAATAATTAACTACATTAAAAATTCTGGTTTTAGGATTGGTATGGATGATTTTGGATGCAGTAAATGCCTGAATGAGCGTGGTGTAGTAAATCGTAGATACAAGACGCACGTGTGACGTTCGGAACTGGGTACAAGATGTAGGAGTTTAAAAGTTTGTCCTAGATCTATGAAAATCTTTTTCTATTTACGTTCAAGTTTCAAACGAAGCAAAAATGTTTTACAATGGTTTCCTTTGAAAGGAAACAAAGGCACGTTGTCTTGGAAGCGTTGGTCAAAAGTTTTATTTCCATTCTGTAAATGGAAACCGACGCAGGATGACGTCACGCTACGTGAACACTGAAAAATTGACACTAGCCAAAATTCACCGGTCAATAAAGACTTGCGTCATGTTTCTCGAGCCGCATAAGAAGCAGATAGAAAATTAGACCCTCCATACTGATAAACGAGTAACACTTGACCAAGTCGAAGTTCACGGTTGAAATTCAGTTTCTTCCATAATGCACGAGTCCCCCTTGTGCCACACGCATTTCCTTGTGTTATCCGCGTGTACGAATACTCGCACGAAACAAGCATATTTAAACGTAGGTTTGTTCACTCCTATATTTAGAGTTGCTTTTCATTGTTGCACGGTTTCCACGAAACTTTTCTTTTATCTTGCAGGTATTTTGTTGGAGAACTTTTACGTAAATCGATTCTTTGAAAGACTGCGTACGAAAACATTAGGGTACGTTGAAAAATCAACGCGAGATATTTTAAAATTTCGTGCAACCTTGCTTCTGAATTCAAGATATCTCACGAACCGTTTTAATGTCGGTTATTTTTTTAATTCAGCGTTGATAAACGTCTTGAAGGTAAAATCCAAAGCATAAGGCATTCGTGCATCATTATCTAGTGCCACTTGTTGCTGTAAGCTCGTTATGAGTCCAAAAATGTCCGTAACACGCGAGAAACCGTTTCGTCAGTGAAAAGGGAAATGAATTCGTGTTGTACGAGTAAACACAGTCGCGTGTTCAAATAGAATGTTCGATACAATTCTGTCTAATTGTACGTGAAGTTTGTAAAAAATGAATACAAGAAGATTCTGGTTTTTAGGCATTTGCAAGAGCTTTTGTGAGACTTATCTAGGCTGGGTTAACGAAGATGGGATCGTTAAGGCTGCTGATTGCAGTTTTTAATTTTCGTCAACCTCGGTATTGTCGCAGTTTTGGCAAGAAGCCTACCCAGCGGCTACGTGATGAGCCTCTCTATTTCGCCAGGACAACCCTATCGATTTTCACCAAACTTTTCTTATACTGCGGTACAGGATTCTTACTCCCGCTTATCACGTTTCTCAATTAAATTCGTTAGAATTCGAATTAGAGTCACGTTCGTGTCGCAATTTCTTAGCGTTAACCTTTACAAAGCATTCATATCTCAGCTTCCTTTATTTACCGTATTATTACAACAGAATATTTACCTCCGATAAACACGGTTGCTCAAGAACTCGTGAGACAAGTATTTAAAATAAGATCTAAGGTTCTCTACGATAGAATCAAAATTCATAAAGGCTTTAGGTCAAGTCTGGGTCAAGTCGTATTTCGATAAAATCTAAGGCGGCGGGTCTAGGTCACCGAAACGAGCATAATAAAATTTCAAACTAAATGGAGCGTTCCTAGAATAAACGAGCAAAGGTAGAATATTCGCTCGAGGTTTCCGCGTCACTCGATTCGGAGCAATTGGATCACAATACGTCTCGTTATGGAAGATCTTAGCTGCACCATTTTTGCAAGGTATCGGTGCATCGTAACGATGTCAAGGACATAGGACAACGTAAACTGCATCTCTCTCTTTCTACCCGCCGTCATTTTCTTCTCTTTTCTCTGCCTCGAACGTTTCCTTTTTCGAATTTAAAGTATGACATCACCCTCACCTCGATGCTTTTTGCACGTATCACGCTAGTAAACTCGTACTTCGTTACTTGCATAACGTGTTGCTAATATATCACTTGAAAAGGTGCTGCACTTCGCGTTTTATTCATACATAATCTTTCACTCTTTAGTTTATATATGGTTCTAAACTTCAGTAAGGACTTCTTCGCAAATGAAGGGAGTTTTATCAGATATTAATAGCACTGCTATACGAAAAATTTTCACAATGTTCACATTCAGATCTTCACACTGTTAAAAGATTTTATCGATGAAAACAGTTTTTCATTTTAAAGCTCTACCTTCACGTTCGATAACTCGCGGGGGATGTTAAAAGTTCCGATAAATATGTTCGATAGTGTAAAGTTCAAAGCGGTCGAATTATCCGCTTTATGTCGGTTGTTATTTCATAAATTATTAATAGCTTCCAAGTGACCATTATGTGTCTATCTGGAGCACTGACATATCAGCGAAAATGAAACGTATCTCGTAAGCAATAAATTTCTGTCGATGATGGGTAAAATGGGATAATTTGAGAACTAATAAAAGCAATCAGCACGCTTTTTTGTAGCGATGCTCGTTTATGATCGTTTATCTGCATCGGGTAATAACAGAGAAGAGGATAATTGTAGGTGTAAAACAGAAACGTCAAATGAAATGTTCATTTTACACGAAGCTTTACGCGGATTCTTTAAAGTATCTACACGACTATCCGATTAGCCCTTTGATCGGTATTTATTAAATCGACACTTGATACGGGTTACATAATTGACGCATTGCGGTTTATCTCGTTTTTCTGATAATCGATACGTATTAAATCAACGTCCGTTTAGATCATCTGAAACAATTAAGCAAATCAGTACTTATCGATCGTGACTTTTGCTCCATAGGTGACTTTTCGCGGATAACCTGACCTAAAAACCGCATTGTACGATTGACAGTTGCGCAAACAGCGATGAAAATAATTCGAGACAAATCGAGATCGTGCAAACATGAAAAGTTTCCGTAAACTCAAGCTATCTTCATTTTCCTGGACCATCAAAATTTCTTCGCGAATGGCTCTGCAAGGAGGGCCACCTCCCACGTGGTCTCAACACTTTTAATGGAACCTGTTCTCCTAAGTTTGACAAGGAAGGTCAGACAACTCGCCTACGCAATGTGCGTACTTCGAACGGTCTTTGAAGCGCATTTAGTACCATCTATTGTTATCTCTTGTTCACGATCGAATCGAATTAGAAGAGGTCGCGTCGTTAAAGTCAGCGGTCTCGTGTGGGACAGCAGATTCTACAGATAAAGTTCAAGGTGCGTCAAGTACACACTCAACTTTTCATGATTCGACGCTTTTTTCCTCTTCGTTAATTATCCAGACAACAAGTAGTCTTATAGGAGGGATACCTTTTTGGAAACTGCTTTTCTGTACAAACAGAGGATTTACTTTATAATTTTTCAGAGTTGGCCAAGTCATCAAAGTTATCAAAGTCTAATGACAACTTAGGTTCAGTCAGAAGGGGTAGTTTTTTGGAGACTGCTGTTCTTGTATAAAGAAAGGATTTGCTTTATAATTTTTCAAAGTTGGTCAAGTCATCAAAGTTATCAAAGTTTAACAACAACTGAGGCTGAGTCAGAAGGGGTAGTTTCTTGGAGACTGCTGTTCTTATACAAAGAAAGGATTTGCTTTATTATAATGTTCCAAAACTGTTCAAGTCAATGTTATCAAAGTCTAACAACAACCCAGGTTGTGTCAGAAGGTGTAGTTTTTTGAAGCCTGCAGTTCTTATACAAAGAAAGGATTTGCTTTATTATAATGTTCCAAAACTGTTCAAGTCAATGTTATAAAAGTCTAACAACAACTCAGGTTGTGTCAGAAGGTGTAGTTTTTTGAAGCCTGCAGTTCCTATACAAAGAAAGGATTTGCTTTATCATAATGTTCCAAAAACTGTCCAAGTCAGTGGCTCCATATGGAAATTT